TGTCTATAGATCACCAACATGCAGACGATTTTTTTTTATAACATCACGCAACAGTGTGCTTTTTTGTGCGAATTTTTTAACGTGCTCGATAGCGTAAAAGTTAACTTAAATTTGTATGGAGTTGGAACGTTGGGGCACTGTTCCAACTCGAATCCATACAAATTCAAGTTAACTTTTATGTTATGGAGAACGTTAAAAAACTCGCACTAAGCACACTGGATAAAATCCAGACGCATTAACGTCTAACTCAAATCGAAAAAACGTTTATAATATAATGTTCAATTCATCCTATTGGGTGTGATGGCTTAAAGTCGGTTGTGTTAAAAGTCTCTTACGACTTTGGAAGCTTGGAAGACTTTTTTTTTAAGGAATTTTATGACCTGGTATCCAAGAACTTTAAGTCACGTCTTATTTTTATTTATATTCTTATTGTTATGAAAAATGATAATATAAGGATAATATGGAGTGCAATGGCGGATCCAGGGGGGGGGTCATGGGGGTCATGACCACCCCCTGAGCTGGTTCCAGGACTTAGGTGGACCACTAATTGAATATAATCATTTTATTTATATATTTTGTCACCATACAGATTTTATGTAACTACATACCTTCAATATTTAATTAATTTAATATAATAATATAATAACTTTGTATAATGGCAAACGTTTGGGAACGAACGCATCTAAATTTGACTATGTGACCCCCTCCTGGCGCCAAAGCTGGATCCGCCCTTGATGGAGTGAAATAAAACAAAATGAAATGAAGATGATTAATTTGAGACAATAATGAACTCTGATGAAATTTAATGAAATGAGATGAGATGAGATGATATGGGATGAAGTATAGTCTTAGTAAAATGGTGGTCATTTACTAAGATTTTTTCAGTGGACTTTTTTGGATCCCGAGAACTTACGTCCAGCGGCTTTGTTTCCTTTTCCCACATTTGTGCATTTTCACAGATATTAAACAGGTAGTAAACCACCATTATTAGACATTTAAACCTGTAGAAACACTAGATAGACAAAATAAAATAAATCACACAACTTCACTCCTCGTGTTCCGTTCCCGCCAAAAAGTCTAGAATACTTTTTTTTTTAATAAACTTTACTGGCTGGAAACGATGTCTTTAACCCATGGAATACTTTACAATTTTCATGGTCACAGATAACTAATATGTTATGCTTTGACATTTGAATACTTGGCTTTGATTACCGTAAAATAAAAAATTAAAACTTGTCGGTTTCCCTTTGTTTCTAAACAATAATATAAAAATAACAAATGCGAAATTAAGCTATATGGAAATTCATGTTTAGAAAGAGAGAGAGAAGAGAATTTAAGTATAGAATTTTCTTCTTTAAATCATTGCAAGATTGTTTAAAATTCTAGACTATAAAGTGTACTAATTGTGTAAGATATAGTGCATGGAACAAGCTGTAAGGGTAGTTTATATTATGTATAGACCTCGGGAAAATACAGCCGCGGCCTACCGCTTGCGATTATGTATTTCTAAAATTCGTAATGTGATTATTTCTAAACTTCTTCTTTCGTTCGTAGAAAGACCGTTCATAGGGTTGAGCAGATACTGGATACTGGAAGAGTTTTTTCAGCGTAGGCGATGGTAAGAGGTAAAGACATAAATGGCACAGTGACTCCGGAAATATTGAGAGAATCGGCTCCGATGCGATGGCGGGCGGTGCTATGGTGAAATGTCTCGGAAATGACGGTGACTTATCAAGCAACTTTACAGATTACTGTTGTATGTTTGCAATTAGTAAAATCAACGAATATTCGTGTTTGTGATGAGGTTTATAGGGCTGCCGTAATTCCAAGCCCCCTAACGGTTCTGCCTTAACATAGAGAAGCAATAATTATTCCCCGAATTGATTGGTTTTTGATGGTCAAATTAACTTGATGCTTACATAACTAACGTTTTCTTTTTTATTTACATATTTATTGAAATTTGAAAATTTATAAAATTTAAGGTTTAATTTTCTTTTTCAGAGGCTAATGTTATTGATATAAACCGTTAACTTCGAGATTTTTTTTTAGATATAAGATCAGTGTGTAAAGTTTGTTTTAAATCGATTGATGAGTGACGTAAGCAAAAGCGTCATAATCGCAGTATTGATTAAACCAGTTTTAATTTTTGGATACAGAGAAAAAGAGTTTGGCATTTTATTTAGTTTACTTTCGCGTTTGTTTGTATACGGTACCTAATCCCTATTTGTATGTTGACTTTAGTCAAAACACATCCTTTTTAAATTTATTAATTCTAAATATATTTCAAGTCAGCTCTAGTTTCACCTTGGCTGACGTATGTATTTGTTTGTGCACCTCAGAGTTCAAGAGTGTGTAAATCTACCGTTTACGTTCTAAAATTTTACGTAAACTATCTTTAATAAAGTTCTTATGACAAAAAAAACACCATTAATACTTCTTTTAAATTTATAAGGATTGTAACATAAAAAAATTGTTTAGATTCTATCGTTACTAGCATTTTAAAATGTTGTCGGGTTTAAATTAAAAAAAAAAAATGTGTGTGTGTGCAAGTCACACACGGTAGAAGTGAAACTTATAAAAAATAATGTGTTCTATCTCATTCTCTCGCCGGCTGAATCCTATACATTTATGTGTTCGTGTCTCTATGGACTTATTTTTTCGTTTCGTTTCATTTCGTTTCATCGAGTTTGAAATCACGATTCTAAAGAAGTTTCACTTCAAAAAAATTAGTAAATTGTGGATATTGGTTGTGTAGGAACTTTTTTTTTTAAATCTTAACTTACATTTTACATGATATGCAGCCACACGAAGGAAAATATGTCGTGCCATCCGGACACTTCCCAACGAAACTGAAGAGTGATCTTTTCCTTCTTAAGACGTCAACACTTAAATCCTCCTTTTGTTCGTTGTCGATCGGCGAACTTCTCACGAACAAAATTTGCACTAACAAAACAGCCAACAAAATAAAAATGTTGAATTTCATTTTCGTTTCTCTTGTTTGTCACTCGGCGTGTAAATGCGCGCGAATTTTTGTATAATCTATGCGCGTGCGCTACCCTTGCGTCTCTGCAAGCGACTGGTTCCAATATTTTTCGATCGCTGGTTCAAAACTCTCTGATGCCGCCACGTTATTAATTTACTAAGAAAGTGACGCGGTATAAACCTTATTGATATCGATGGTGGCGAGATTTATTAGTCTTAGATTATATTTATCAAGTCTCTGGTTGACCACGAAGATTTTATGGCCTAGTAAGGTTGACCACGAAAAAGGATTTGTTTGCAAAAAAAAAAACTATTTCAAATTCTTCTGCGCTTCCGCAATTATGCTGCGTAATTATGATGTCATTTGTAGTGAAATTTGTAATACATTATTGATACAACAGTATTGATTATGGTGAGTGATTTCTCAATATTATTTTTGACCGATTATCAATGTTTACATCTAAAGAAAATGTGTGCGTAATTAAAACTACAGCTTAATCTTATTATTCTAACTTTTTTCCTACCTATTGGTAACGAGCTATTCCAGCTACGAGAGGACGGCTAGGTGAGTTCTTAAAAATATGATGTGTTATTATCTATGGATAAGCTCACGGGCTCAACCTGAAAGAATTATAACACTAGCTCTAGCAAGAGCAGACCCACTGAGAAAATCTGACTTCTCACTCAGTGAGTGTTATTTAATTGTTTTCAATGTTTCGAATAGTTTACAGTTTTTCATGATCACTGATGCCTAAGTTGTTTTTTATTCAAAGAGCGTTGTGTAAGCTATCGTAAAAATTTATAAAAAATATTTGATCCATGTCACATTTAGTCATTTATTTGATCCACGAAATTTGATATTAATGTTTCATATAAGCTTAGAAAATGTATTTTACAAGTAGATGTTGTTATCATAAAATACTTTCAGCATAATAACCTCATATCTAAAAAAAATATTACAACGTTGAGAGTTATAGTGTTATTGGAAATTAAATTATTAATGTGGTTTATCAATTGAATAATTATTTATCGAATATTTGAAATTATTGATGGCTCATATCGATCGAGCGAAGAGAATACGCACGCACCATCACTAGCAGGTTTTATTGTCATTATACAATTTTCAACTTGCACGTTCTTGTTTCACCTTGAATTTCGAGTTTNGTTGCGGTGCTCGATGTAGAAGCTTTGCACGCAGGTACAGGCGACGCAGGAGCAGCGAGCACGGCGGAGTCTTCGAGAGAGCTCGCAGTGTGATTGGCCTTGAAAGCCAGAAACTCTGAGGCGAGCTGTGGATGACGAAGTCGGAGGAATTCCGCGAACACAGCGTCCATGATCGCTGAGTGCCCAGGTGGGGCGGCCCTGGGTCTTGAAAACACTCGCCTTGCGCAGAAATAACGAAAGGAAACAAAACAAATAAAAACTTCCAGGAAAAAAAACACTTGGTCGGCAGATGTACCACGAACACAGGCCGCGCGAACAATGGCCGGCCTAACAAAAGTCGGGCGAACAAAGGCCGGGCGATCGAGTGGTCGATGGGCACGTCCGCACGTGACGGGTGCCTCTATCGGAATGTATTCGTGTCGTGTCGCCTTCTCAAAGTGGGGCACTGCTGCGGACTCAAGATATGTACTGATTGAGTCAAGCTCCAGATCATCATGGAGATTCACGTTCCTCACCAACCACGGTCTTTCGACGGCTATCCTACGAGCGAACACTACACATGTATAGATCATGACCGGACGTATGCAAATTTTGTAGAGTGTCGTCACCTTATTACGAAGGGACAATTTACTTTCATCGCAAATCATCAGATAGAGGCGTTAAAATAACTCGCACTAAGCGTAAAGTTGAGTTCTTCGAGTGCTTTCTTCTGTCGATATACAATCATTAAAAAGCATATGTAATACACATAATATACAACATAAATAAAATACTATAAATGTAATGTGATCAAATTTTTTCAACTAGTAATTTGGGCGGTCGAGGACATCAAACACAAGGATAAAACATTTTAATCATTCCACTTTTTCATCTTTATTATTTATTGATAACGTCAAATAGAATACAGTGTTTCGAAACGCGATGCATCCTAAAAATAAAACCCTAATAAAATATTTACAAAATTCAATAATACTATTTACAAATAAAACTAGAATACTATAAGAGACAACTAATAATTGATATCACAGCTTGGGCTAATAATAGTTGGTATGGATAGACTGACACCGCGCTCGAGGCGGCTTCCGTGAGCCTCTCGGGCTGGTGGCAGTTCTGATGCTGGTCGTCCGTGAGGCACATCGCGTACGCCATTAAGTGAGGCACCACGGACTGATCGTAGCTGGCGGTGAACAGGTGCTGCCAGGGTCCCAGCGCGAACACCGCCACGTCCTCGCCGCCGTGGGTCTCCGAGTCCAGAGGCACGAGACTTGGGTACGCGTAATCCAAGCTACCTATCATATAAATTAATTTACTCATTAGATTGGTACTGTGATCGTGATGGGATCAATGAAACTGCCTGGAAGCGTGGTTAATTTGAGATAGCAGGTACACGAGACGTAGTTCTGTATGCTTAGTGCAAGTTTTTTTTAACGTTCTCGATAGCGTAAAAGTTAGCCCAATTTTGTATGCATTTGGAACAGCGCCCCTAGCGGCAAACGCAGGCAAATGATCCCATTCCATACAAAAATGAGCGAACTTTTACGCTGCCGAGGGCCAACTATATGGCCACTCGGCTCGGAATTGCCACGCGCGCCCCCGCTGCGTGAAGTGTCTCGGCGATCACGCCACGGTAGATTGCTCGCGAGTTAGGGAAACCGCGACCGAACCTCCAAGCTGTGTCCTATGCCTTAAGCAAGGGCACCCCGCGAATTACCGTGGATGTCCTAGGGCTCCGCGAAAACGTCCGACCCACCCAGCCCCCNACAGCCCACTGAGTTTCTCGCCGGATCTTCTCAGTGGGTCGCGCTTCCGATCCGGTGGTAGATTCTGCGAAGCACTGCTCTTGCTAGGGCGGTGTTAGCAATTCTCCGGTTTGAGCCCCGCGAGCTCACCTACACAAGCTAGGGTACGCTGAAATAGCCTCTCAAGGCTATCAGCATAGGTAGGATAAAAAAAAAAAAAACGCTGCCGAGAAGGTAAAAAAAATCGCACTAAACACATAGGGCGTAACTAAGTGATTACTGGAGCCCATAGACATCAACAAAGTATATGCCGCCACACAGTTAGACATGAGTTCTAAGTTACAAATACGCAGTGCAACACCTACTCAACACCCTTCAAACGGAAACGCGTTATTACTTTGCGGCAGAAACAGGCAGGGTGGTGGTACATACCCGTGCGGGCTCACAAGATATCCTACAACTAGAATAACCATGATTTATTTATTATGTATGTCTAAAACAGTCAAAAATTCGCAGCGAATTCTTGGCTGCGTACCACTAAGAACTCGATCCAGATATTGTTTGAAGAAATACGGCATGGCTGTACAAGTGTTGCACTTAAGCTGGATTGAGCCCTCAAAACTGGAAGAGATTTTCTTTAACTCACGCTCCGTAAATCCTTTTTCCTTCGTAACGTCGACTCTGAGCCCGTCCGTGTCAATGGAAGCGGCTTTTCCATTTGCGTAGCTGATCGTAGTGTAAGGTCTTCCGTCGCCACCGTTCGTCGTGTCCACCACGCCCAGGATGTCGTTGCCTCTGGACGGGTAGCCGGCCACGGTCATGGTGTGGGCGTGGTCGGAGCTCACGACAATAAGGGTCTCAGATTCGTCGGTCAGCGATCTGGCTTTTCTTACGGCTTTAGCGTATTCGACGGTCTCGTCTAACGCCAAATACGCGAGGCTGTCGTGATGCGCGTGGTCTATTCTTCCACCTGGAAGAAAATTTTTAATAAGAATGTCTATTCTATTTATTCTATCAACACCCACTTCGGAGTCCGAAATTCGCATTTGGTAAACTTCTTTGCGTTACGGACATATAAAAATAATATGTCATATTATATGACATCATATTTTATACCATAGGGTTATAGGTAAGAATGGTCAGGCAATATAACGATTTGGCTAAATGTCACGGTGACCTTGATATCTTTGAACCTAGACTCAGGGGATTTGTCAGATGTGTGAAGGATATCCTATTTAACAATGGCTAGTTATCAATATAATGCTTGTGTTTGTATTGTTGTCTATTTATGTGGATAGCGTTATTTTTTTTTTGTAACTCGTAACTTTATTTTTATTTGTAATTTGTAATTTTGTTTTCTTTTTTTTTTCTGCCTAAGCTGATAGCCTTGAGAGGTTATTTCAGTGTAACCTTAAATAGTGGATGAGCTCGCGGGCTCAAACCGGAGTGATGCAAACACTGACCCTAGCAAGAGCAGTGCTTCGCAGAATCTACACCGGGATCGTAAACGCGACCCACTGGGAACATCTGGCGAGAAACGCAGTGGGCTGTGTATGTGGGTTAATTTACTCGCCGAACCCTTCATCGCCAGCGACGTGTTCAATGAGAATGATGACCGGTGCTTGGGGTACCTAAAAGCCGTGTAAAACACGTCGAAATGACGTGTAATTTGGGTAATATCAGGGGCGTTTTATTTATTTATTCTATCATGCCCATAATAAATAGATATTTATATTGTATACCCACACGGTGACAATTCGAATCTTGGTCACACAGATAGGTCGGAGGCATTAAGCATCCTGAGCGTCTATGAGTCATTGTTGAGTATTTTACTCATCGATGTACTTGAGAAACGAAGAATTGTAAATCGGTATTTAATCTTAAATGGTGTTGTTATCAGTGCATAGTTATCGTTGGGAAAAATATGTTTGAACGAGATTATAGCCCGTGTCACAAGTCGACAATATCAAAACTGCACAAATTGTTCTTTGAATTCATTCGCATTGATCCCGTGAATAATTATAATTCGTAATCGTAAAAAATTAAGATATTTGACTCCAATCAAGACGTAAAGATTACCAAAAACGCGACATGTTTATCGTCAAAAACAAACTGGTCATTCAATTAAGACTTTAAAATATCAGAGAATCTGGTATCGTCGTTGAAAGAAACCGGCTAATGAATAAGGTAAAGCTGGCCTACACATTTTAAACAGTTTCTCGACTGGTTTATCGACTATACCTCGCAAATTATAAACCTACGGAGATAAACAAACACAGAAGCTGGACGAGAGTTGAGGTCAGAGGATTATGATAATAGTCTTCCGGCTAATCATCACTTGATTCGGACACGCTGCTCCGGTCACCTTGGATTAAACACAATTTTTTTTTCTATTACTTAGATGGGTGGACGAGCTCACAGCCCACCTGGTGTTAAGTGGTTACTCGAGCCCATAGACATCTACAACGTAAATGCGCCACTCACTTTGAGATATAAGTTCTAAGGTCTCAGTCTAGTACAACGCATTACTGCTTCATGGCAGTGGTGGTACCTACCCGTGCGGACTCACAAGTGATCCTACCACCAGTAATTACGCAAATTATAATTTTGCGGGTTTCATTTTTATTACACGATTCTCTATCGTCCATCCGTAGCTTTAGTCACAGCTCTTAGTCCATTAACTTAAGTACCGATAAAGCGAGTCCGGACTTGCCTATTTCAGTCGCAAAGAAAATTTTCGCTCACAAGTCAGAACAGCTTAGATTTCGAACGTAAGTCAAAGACGGGATTAAAGGTTGTGGTGGACATGTTGAGTTCCTCGATGGAGTAACAGCATCGAGTAATAATGAACCTTATCAATAAAGGGTAATGTTAATGATAGAGCAAATTATAAGGGCACAGACAAGCACCTACTGCCCGAGAAGCGTCATGCGTTCAGTTAAAAGGACATGTCATAGCGCTCGGGAACACCCTAGAGGGGAGCTCATTCCAAAGAAAATATTTCTGTAAGCGCACTGTGGATGAACGCAGTGGCTCCAGGTAGTAAGGATGAACTCTACTCCGGTGGCGGGTGGTGCGATGGTAAAAAGGAGATGATGGGATCATCTCAGACAATTCCTCAGAGCACTCCCCATGGAACATACGATACAAAATACAGAGAGAGCTGAAGTCCCTTCGCACACCAAGAGGTTCCAAACGATCCGTAAGTATGGGATTATCGACAATCACCTTCAACGAACAGGAAATATCCCTTCGGGTTCCTGCTGAGCATTTTGATGGCCACTTCCACCATCTCTTCCAAAGTCGGCTCGTCTTCTGCCTTCAAATGGTACGCCATGTGGTCAGTGTTGAACAATCCCAGGAGGTATTCGGGTAAATCATCAGAATTGTATACCTGAAATATTCAAGTTTCATTTAACATCGTTATTAACAGTGTCAGTATATATTATGTCAATAATCAATATAACATTGACGTTGTATTCAAAGTTTATTCATTTAGAACGAAACTCCTGGTAAACCTTTGTTAGACTACACTGAAATTTATTCTGCTTATGGTGAAATGATTTCTAATTATGGTAACTTCAGTACTGGCTTTCTTTCTCTGTAGGTATAGTTCTAAATAAATCTAACGAAATCGTATTAGTTGCTAGTTGCGCCATCTATTGACGAATATTTAAAGCACACCAATAATTTTATCTTTGCTAAAACTCAATCGTACTCGGGTGATTTTAACTTAGTTCTTACTACCACTACTAGATGTCTCTGTTATAAATAACTTAATTTTTTGATATAACTAAATTTCAGTATCAATCAAAGCTAACGGTCTTCGATTTTGGGAGCATTTCCAAGTACTACTACTCCAAGTCTGATATGAGGGTACATGACCACTGTCTGTCTAGCCCAAGTGCGACAGAAAACCAAATACATCATTATGTATCAACAAATAAATAATAAATACTTAGGAACATCAAAATGAAAAAGACGATCGATTTAATTAGCTAACGTAGTAGATAATAATATGTAGGTAACATAAGATTTTTTTTTAATTCCATAAGCCTGTGTGCTAGGTCACGGCTCACCAGGCATTAAATGGTTGACGATGTCCAAAGACTCTCTTCGATACTGATCCGTGAATGCCGACACTCACCTTGAGACATGAGGCCTCAGACTGAAATACAACTGTTCCCCCACCTTCCAAGCTTAAACGCGTCATTGCTCCGCGGCTGGAAGGCGGGATGAAGTTCCTTCCCGTGTGCGTTAACATAGATGCCCTCCCAATCAAATTTAGCCCACTCAGTTTACGTCATATCTTCTCAGTGGGTTGCGATTTCTATTCGGTGGTAGATTCTACGAAGCACTGCTCTTGCTAGGGCTAGTGTTAGCGAATTCTCTCAGGTTGAGCCCGTGAGCTTACTTACCAGTCCGGGCGTAGCTGAAATAGCCTCTTAGACTACCAGCGAATAGATAGATAAAAAAAAATCGGTTGTCTGTAAAGTCGGTTTACTGACGATAGTTGAACGTGACAACGTCATAAGAAAGTACTGATGGAATGGTTTCATTTTTCAATTAACGCAATTATCATTGCTATAAACAATTGACACCACATTCACTTTTCACCGAACTTCATACTTGACGAAAACATGTAAATGTATTATTGTATAGCAGCTGTCCACGCGGATGCATCGCTCACTCAAGTCGCCTCAGAGCGAGGTAACGCCGCATGAGTCATGTTTTTTCGTGCGTGCAGCCGGCTCCATCGAATTATAAGACGTTGTCACGTCAAAAAATATCTACAGACCTTCAAGAGCTCCAGTCTGTCTGTCACGTACTGATGGCTCACATTCTTCTGGAGCTTATCCACGTGCCACAGCTCGGTTAGATCCACTCCATCAACCCGTTTCCCGGTGTTGTTACCAAAGCCAGTGACGTTCGGGAGGAATTCTCGTCTGCCGCCGCCCAAGATGACCTGGAAACAAATGTACAGGCTATTCACTATGGCTATGCGTTTCGGCTTGAAGGGTGCGGCAGCCGTTGTAACTATACTGAGACCTTAGAACTTTTAACTCAAAGTGGGTGGCGCATTTACGTTGTAGATGTCTTTGGGCTCCAGGAACCACTTAACACCAGTTGGGCTGTGAGCTCGTCCACATCTAAGCAATAAAAGTTTTAAAAAAGAAAACAATTATTAAACGCATAAGCTTATTGATTTTAAAGATTTTTTTAGCAGGTATTAAGTAAGTATTTGTTATATAGTTATTGATGTCTGACGATTTTTTTTAATGTTTTTTGCCCTTGTACGCGTACGAGCACACGGTCCACCTGATGGTGAGTGGTTACCGTTCCATGGACGTAAGCAATGCCAGGGACAGAGCGAAGCCACTGCCTGTGCAGCCGAGCCGCTGCCTGCCTTGCATTTTGTAAATAATGAAACTGAGTTTTATTTTATTTTATTTATTAACAACATCTTCACAAAGCAGAAGATAAGCTACGGAATTCTTTTGTCACTTTAAAACAAATTAATTACTGCAGCACGACTTATTTTCACGACTACATTTGATAAGGCCATCACGACATCACTAATAAAATACATTGTGGTTTTTTTTTATTCTGAGATACGATTTAAAAATAAATAGTCGTCCTGGCCTAAAGACGTCCGGTACATTTGTATCTAACGATACAACAGTGTTCGAATCCCGCAGGCGGGTACCGATTTTTCTAATGAAATACGTACTAATAAATGTTCACGATTGACTTCCACGGTGAAGGAATAACATCGTGTAATAAAAATCAAACCCGCAAAATTATAATTTGCGTCATTACTAGTGGTAGGACGTCTTATGAGTCCGCACGGGTAGGTACCACCACCCTGCCTATTTTTGGGGTGAAGCAGTAATGCGTTTCGGTTTGAACGGCGGGGCAGCCGTTGAACTGTTTATTTATTTAAAATCTTATTAACTACACAATTTAAAAAAAAAGGATATTAAAAATACATTTTTTTTAAAACACTATATAAAAATAGACTGCCGCTGATGGCGGTGTCTACGACACAAGCCACCAGTGGTTAGGACTCCAGAGAGAGAAACCTCACAATATCGAGGATAACTGCCTTCTGTGTCAGGCCCCTAACCCAGCTGGATAACGAAAGTTTCTTAAGATGTTGATCGAAACTTTTCGCAAACCGTGTATCGACACAACTATTGGAACAATGATAATTGAATCAACATACCACATGGCGGTAGTCTCGTGGGCCAGGTCTAAATATTTTATTAATTTGTCCTTTTCTGCCTTTACGAGGTCCCGTCACGAGGAATGGTGACATCAACCAACACTGCTCGACGCGCAGACCGATCTATTATCACAATATCAGGCTTATTGCCAACAATATACCTATCCGTGATAATAGATCGGCCCCAGTAGAGAGTAACATGACCATTATCAAGAACTGGTTGAGGTTGGTATTGGTAATAAGGTACAGCAGAATCAAGAAAACCATATTTCAGGGCAAGTTGTTGATGGATAATCCTAGCCATTTGGTTAGGTCTATGCAAGTAACCGCCATTAGCAAATCGAGAACAGCCAGAAACAATATGTCTAATAGTCTCCTAGACGGTGGCATGGCCGACAAATGTTGACCGTCGCATCCTTTATATTTATTATCATTATTATTATTATGATCGTTACCTTGAACTGTCTCCCTGGGTTGTCCATGACGAGCTGGTACGCGATATCCCGGCAGCCAAGGGTCAGGCACTCCGCTGGTACATCAACGTCCGACTCCCAATTTCTCTCGGAAACGTGAGCATACATGCCGGCGGGTGAGGCGTGCGTCACTCTAGTTGTTGTAACCAAACCTGAAAACGAATGAAAATGTAAAGAAAAACTATCAGTATCATCGTAAAGGAATGTATTTCTTAGGCAGCGGCTTGGCTCTGCCCCTGGCATTGCTGAAGTCCATGGGCGACGGTAGCCACTGACCATCAGGTGGGCCGTATGCTTGTCTGTCTACAGTGGCAATAAATAAAAAGTTAATTGCGCTTTGACGTCGATAGGTAGGTACTTAAAAACTATAGTCGAGATATAGATCAAGAGATTAGTGGTAATAACGTTGTGATATCCATGGGTTACAGTAACCATTTAACATCAAGCGGACCGTGACCTCGTCCACTCATTTAAACTGTAACAAAACAACATGGCTTCCATAATTCCAAATCGAGCAAGTCAAATTCGGTTTTAAGCAGAGACATAAAACTTTATATGTGATTATATAATTCGGTTTTCATGCATGCAGTCTAAAATTACAAATTTATTAAATAAGGTTTAAATGTAGAAAAATATATCTATACATATAAAAATTTGGAGTGTCTGTTTGTAATATTTTAAATAACCGCTTTTTACTGTATGCATATGAATAAGTATACGGTACATACACCAAAATAGCATTTTTTACAAATTTTGTCTGTCTGTTTGTTACGACTAATCTCTGGAACGGTTGGACCGATTTTGACGACGCTTTCACTGATAGGTAGCTAAATAAATAATAAATGTAAATGTAAATAAATATTTACTAACAATCACGCCACGTTAACTGGTCCCGTGATAAGTTCGTAAAGAACTTGTGTTACAGGTACCAGATAACGGAAATAAATGTAAGATTTTTATTATACACATACATATATTTAATATACATCCATAACCCTGGAAAAGACATTTATATTTATCATACAAATATCTTCCCTTGGCGGGATTCGAACCCGCGACCCCCTTGTGTAGTGACCATGTCACTTACCACTACACCAGACGGCCGTAGCTGATGATATAAACAGACTTTTTTAGACTAGCTTCGCCCGCGGCTTCACCCGCAGTACGACAACAACCGCGGGTTAGGTCGCGGGACTCAGCTATCAGCAATAATAAAATTTAATGTTTCCGAAGCGAAGCGAGGGCGGGTCGCTAGTATTTAATAAAAAAAACATTCTACTCTTGTACTCCGTCATAGAACTTAAGGTTCGGAACAAAACGATCGACTAATAACAATCATTGACTGTGGTAAGAGAATATAAATGTTAAAATTAATAACTGCTTAATGTCTGTGTGACTATTTAAGTACTAAATTGTTCTGTTGTTCGCAGTTAGAAGTGAATGTTGTTCTATTAAATTAACTTATGCTTTGTGTCTTCCGATTACAAAAACATATAAAATATCAAAATATCACTATTTTTTTATTTGGTTACATATTAATTTGTGTGCATTAATTTTTGGACTGCTGTATATTTTTAATTGAATTAAGTTTAGTTAAATTGCTAATAGGTCATGCTCTTCCTAATATACTAGTGGGAATGCTCTACTCTTCTGTACAATCTATATTATTAATACGTGAAGCAAAAACTTTGTACCATTTTTTACGAAAATTGCGCGGACGGAAGAGTATGAAATTTCCCACACTTATAGAGAATATATAGAAGGCGTGCAGAGTGTTATTTTTTTTTAAATTATCTATTATCTATGACCATGTATTTGACACACACACGCAGCATACTATTTGTATATTGTCTATTTTTTCTTAATGCTTATAGTCTGTGGTCAAATTGAGAATACATTAAAATTAAATATTTTTTATCTTTACTAATATTTGTCTAAAGTGTAGTCTTGGTGAAATCTGTGATTATAGAAGTATAATAAAGTTCTTTGACAATAGAATCACAACAGTGTACAAGCTTATAATTTCAATTAATTAAAGTCGAATCTCGACTACCGGGGGACCACTAATTACATTAATTTTATGTTCAATATCCAAAAAATGGGTGGGATATAGATGGCTGGACGAGTTCACAGCCCACCTGGTATTAAGTGGTTACTGGAGCCCATAGACATTTACAACGTAAATGTGCCACCCACCTTGAGATATAAGTTCTAAGGTCTCAGTATAGTTACAACGGCTGCCTCACCCTTCAA